AGTAAATCCTGTAGGTCAGAACCTCCTTTTTGAGGAATACAGAGTATGTACATTTTAAGGAAGTGCCTGGTCCTCTCCATCAAGAGACTAGCAATATGGGCATGGCTTAGCCACTGCAGCTACCCTGGCAGAGGTGGCATTCAGCAGGTTCTGACCAGTTCTGAGAACCTGCAGCAAAAATTTTGAGTAGTTTGAAGAACCTTTGGCTGCCACCCCCCCATCTATTCTCTGCCTCCCGAGTCCCAGCTGATTGGGAGGAAACGGGGATTGTGCAGTAACCTTCCCCTGGAGTGGGGAGGGGATGGAGATTTTACAGTATCCTTCCCCTGCCATGCCCATCAAGCCAAGCTATGCCCACCAAGCCACACCCACCAAACCACGCCTACAGAACAGGTAGTAAAAAAATTAAATCACACCATTGTACCCAGGATTAAGTGTGTCTAGCGCTGCCGTGTCTTGGCAATGAGACTTGATTTTATTAACCATTCTCTCTCTCCATCTCTTGGACTAGATAAGCAAAACAGTTTAGTAGACTGGGTTGGGATATTCCTATGTACATTGACTGAATGGAGATACTTCAACATTGTTTTATTTATGAATGATAGGATCTATTTGAGGCTAAAGTTAACTGATTGGATCAACCAATCTCTTTTTGATCTTTCCCCCAAATATTATGCTCTACTGATCAAATAGAAAACATGGCAATGCATAATTTAGATGCTGAATTCGTTACTATTGCATGTAGTGACGGCTTTAAACCAGAACTGGACAAATGTGTGGTAGATCAAATTACCATTAGGTCCTAGATTTCATGATTAAGTACTACCTCCTCAATCATAAAGAATATCATTTAAATACCAACTGCAGGAAAGCAGCCGTGGAAGACTTTCATCTATGCTTCTGAGCTTCTTGAATGTATCTAGCTGATCACTGTGTGATGCAGAATGCTGAATTGGATGGGTCAATAGCCAACAGGTAGAATTTGTCTAATCTTCTTAAAATGAAATAAATGACTGAAAACTGATGCATGATCCTACCATAGCAGAAAATTCAGCCATCGTATTCCTTAGCTTCAGATTCGTAGTGGGGAAATGCTAGTAGCAAGTGCCCTGTCTTTTGTGAACAGTTATTGTAGTTGTCATGATTCAGCTAAGTATTTTTTCCTTTTTTGTGGTTATCAAAGAAGTCCTGGGGACAATTTGGAATGTATTTATGTCACTCAAGGAGAGTTGATCTAGGTGACTCATGGCATTCTATGAGTTCTTAAGATTCTAAGATTCTTTCCTTCTGGCCATTGTTCCTTGTGGAACATTTCAAAGCTTCCAGATGGACAGGACGAGCTGACGCACTTTCCCCCCGAGCAATGGTTGGAGGGAAGAGATCATTATAGGGCAGTGCTATTCGCCTTAGCCAAAGCAAACAGAAGCCCCTTGACATTTAGGTATTATAGAACGTTATTTGTTCTTGGAGAAGGTATCTTAAGACACATTTACTATGTTACCCAAAAGTCACAGGACAAGCAGTCCAGGGCCTTCTTATCCAAGGAGTCCTGGATCTATACGATCAAAGAGCCCAGGGTCAAGGCCAGTGAGCCCAGGATACTCAAGGAGAAGGACCCCATCCACAGGATATGCATTGGACCAGCCATCCGGATCTCGAGCACCTTCCAGAGAACGAGGGGCTACCATGGGAAGGTCAAGTACTCCAGAAAGAGGGCGTTCGGTTGTCAAGACAGGAGCTATTGTCATAGATACTGGTACAGGGAGATGTAAAGCTGGATTTGCAGGTCAGCAGACCCCCAAGTCAATCATTGGGACATTAGTTGGACACCCTACAGAAAAATCTATGCGGACTAGAAGAGATAGACCAGATACTTTCATTGGAGATCAAGCTCGATTGGAACCTGATACCGATATTATTTTTCCAGTAAGGCATGGCATAATCACAGACTGGGAAGCAGCTGAAGCACTGTGGAGGCACCTGATCTACCATGACCTCAAAGCTGCTCCAGAAGACCATGCCCTTTTGATGTCTGATCCTCCTCTCTGTCCAACTACGAACCGGGAAAAATTGGTGGAGGTTGTCTTTGAGTCTCTCAATTCTCCTGGAATGTATGTGGCATATCAGTCTGTACTATCAGTGTATGCTCATGGAAAAATTAGTGGATTAGTGGTAGATACAGGCCATGCTATGACACACTCAGTGCCAGTCCATGAAGGATACAATTTGCCACATGCTATAGAAAGGATGGACATTGCTGGAGCCAATATGACATCTTTTTTGATGGATCTCCTCAAAGACATGGGGCATTACTTTGATGAAAGAATGTTGGATGTTATTGATGATATCAAACATAAATGCTGTTACGTTGCACTTGATTTTGAGAGTGAGTGGAATCGTCCAAAGAGAGAGTACATGGTGGACTACCAGTTACCAGATGGCCAAGTAATCACTTTGGGAAAGGAGAGATTTCAGTGTCCAGAAATGTTGTTCAGTCCTCCTCAAATGCCTGGACTTACACTTGTAGGAATCCATGGCATGGCCCAAAAAAGCTTAAAGAAAGTCCCTGAACAATCCAGGAAGGGAATGTATGAAAACATAATATTATGTGGAGGGTCATCACTTTTTGAAGGATTTGAAAGGAGATTTACCCACGATGTAATGTCCCACTTGCAGACAAATACAAAAGTCAAAGTCACAGCTATTCCACTGAGGCACTTTTCCGTCTGGACAGGGGGTTCCATACTAGCTTCCTTGAAAAATTTTCAACCATGTTGGATCAGAAAGGAACAATACCATGAGAGTGGACCGTACATTGTCCATAGGAAGTGCTATTGAGATGACCCCAATGAAGCCCAGGATAGCTAGGGCTGAAATGGCTGGGAAGCAACTCATAATAAATCTCTGTGCATAGGCTTGAAATGTGGTTTGCATTTATTGTTGAGAGATTCAGCATGACCTGTCAGATGCCAGCTGTGTGGACGTATCATGCAAAAACCAAGACCACCTTAATAGAGGAAACTAACAAAGAGCAGACGTAAAATGGAAGCTCCTTGAACAGTACTTAAAATGCCTTGTTTTACAGAGCTATGAGATGTGGGCAGCAAAAATCTCCATGAAGAAAAGGATACAACAAAAAGAAATGCAGAACATACTGTCTTTCTAGCCTAGATTAATATTGTGGATGGATCCCTGCAAGATGAGATGTTAACCCTATGTTTTCAAAGTGAATTACTCATAAAATCTCGTTTACATTGTTCTACGTAGAATAAAGAGACTGGGTACAAAATGTAAATGCTGCTTTTTTATTATTTTTTTTAAAAAAGCTTCTGTTGTAGAAAAATCAGAGAGATTTTTGACCTTTAAAAAAAAATAAAAGTATTTAGATTTTGTAACCATCTTCTGTATGCAAGTTCAAAATTTATTTTATTTATCATTATTTATTTGCTTACCCACCTAGTGGTTTGGGGTGACCCTGAGCAGCTTACCTTACAGTGAGATAAAATATATAAACATTCGAACAATTATAAATATAAAACCAGATTAAAACTACAAAAAATTAACATACACTTAAAAAAACCACAGATTTGGAGCAGAGAGGTGGGGATACTTTCTCTGTTAGTGCATCAACCACCTCCAGCCAGCAGCTTCAGGACTCCATGGCAGTTGGCATGACCAGGTTTTAAGGCTTTTCCTGAAGGCTAAAAGAGAAGGGGAGCAGAGGTGGTATTCAGCAAATTCTGATCAGTTCTGGAGAACGTGTAGCAGAATTTTTGAGTAGTTCAGAGAACTGGTAAATACCACCTCTGACTGGCCCCGCCCTCATCTANGACATCTTCAAGTTGCCAAGGTTGAGAAACACTGGATTAGACCACCATTTGTCTGAACTGGTATAGAGTCTTTGGCTTTGGGCAGGGGGGGATGGGACCTCCAAGGTCCCTCCCAACTATTCTTCCGTTACATATCCAGACTCAACAAATTAGCTGGCTGCCACTGCCTACAGGAGGTTATCAGGAACCAGGACACACCTGGACCCAAGATCAGCCATTTTCCAAAGGGATTCCAGAATCAAATTGTTTCAGCGATGTTGCAAATCATTTTTTTTTCCTAGATCCCTGAAATTTCAGATTAAGAATTATTAATTCATGAAACTAAATTTTATCAAGCCCTAGGGTTTTACTACTACAGAGACAGAGAGGAAGAAGTCAAGTTTCTGCTATTTTCTCCCCAGGATCTTTTCAGAGATAAGGAAATAAGTTGTTAAGAAAGATCCAGACGTACTTATGATATGGTCTTTTCTGCCTGGATACAGAATAGTCTTTCCCGTGTTTATTTAACAATGGTTTCCAAAGGGGCAGCCATATATCTTGATAACAAGAAAAATGCACTATGCCCTTTTTGTAGCTTTGAGAAAAACAACAGGAAAAAGTAGAAGTCACCTTATATCCTGTTGTGTTACAAGGTCCATATTCTTAGTGACCAACAGTCTTTTCCACAAAAGCTTTTCCTGATCATACTCATCCTATTTCTTGAGTAGAACAATGGCTCCATTTATACCAGCCCTTGTTCTGTTCAACGTTCCAGTCCTACAGCGTCGAAGAGAACATCACTCTCACTTCTTCAGTTCTACAGATTTTAAACCGAGATCAACTAATTTTATTAAAGTTCCAAAAAAATCCCTCCTGAGTCCCAGTTAGGAAAACCACGAGTACTTTAAATAGAGCAATTATTTACAGGGCGAATAAGCAGCTCCAGTCTGCGACTCCAAGTACAATCCCCCAATACACTTTGAGATTAAAAACCTACAATTGGCTAAGAACAGCGACTGGAAATACTCCTGTGGAATCGGAAGTCCTGAATACTAACATTAACAATAATGAAAGGAAGTCCAAACTCACAACCCTTGGCTTGGGGGAATAAGGAAGTTTTTGCCGTCTTCTTAAAAGCCAGAAAGGAAGGGGTGAATTATATGAATCAGGTGTACGCTTTTGCAGAAGGGGTGAGTGGCTGAAAAGGCATATTTGCATGGCCACTGAAGGTAACAATCTCTGAAGAGACATAGCTAAAAATCGATGCAACGTCATCTTCATACAGAACCGGATTAACTTTTCCTCCAAGGTTGTCTGCGATAGCAGCCTAACTTTCTCCGCAACCAAAAGGGGAGGTTAGAGACTCATCAACAATTGTCCAGTATACCTGGGTTAAGCAATGGCTGCTTGAGAAAAGGGTGCCTCACCGCCACTTGCAAAGAAGGAGTTACATCCCCTTCTTCTAAAGCAGTGTTTCCCAACCTTGGCAACTTGAAGATGTCCGGACTTCAACTCCCAAAATTCCCCAGCCAGCATTCTGGGAGTTGAAGTCCGGACATCTTCAAGTGGCCACGGTTGGGAAACACTGTTCTAAAGAACACATGAAGAGAGTCACCGGATCACAATTTACCCACAGAAGAATCTGGAGAAATCGTGCTATTTTGCCTTATTGCCACAGCAGAGGTCCCTTATGGATTAGGTTCATCCTGTGCCACTGGCGCTTTGGGCATCCCTTGGGTTGGATCCGTTCTGTGGCGCTCTGCAGAAAACTAACCCCTGCTCTCTAATCTTCCCAAGAAGCTTCTAAAGCAGATGTTCTCAACCTGTGGGTCGCGACCCCTTTTGGGGGTCGAAAGACCTTTTCACAGGGGTCAACGAGGAGCCTCCCGCGGAGGAGAGGCTGGCGAGAAGCCAGTCCCGAAGGGAAGGAGCGGCTCGGATTCCCTGTGTGGTGGAAGGAGGGGTGTGTGTCTGTGTGTGGTGGGTGGGTGGGGGGGAAAGTAGGAGCCGGAATGGAGGCGAGGAGGGGGGAAAGAGAAACGCGCGCAGCACAGAGGGTGCTGGGAAAGCAGCTCGCTAAGAGTGATGGAGGTTGATGGGCAGAGCTACGGAAGCCAAGAGGTACCATTTCTGAGGCGTAAAACAAGGCAGGGAAAATAAAATAAAGGAACGTGGGATGCGGGTACGCTGAGATTCCCTCTTAAGCCCGTTACCCATGCTTAGCAATCTCTCTGCTGACCCAATCGCGCAATCTGCCCTCCGCCCTGAGAAGACACGAGCCTCTCGCCTGCTTTTGCGATTCTGCGTCCTTTGCCGGCAACTCGGGAAGAGCTCCAGCCCTTTTCTCGCGGTCACCTCTTACGCACGTGCAAGCGAAATACGCTCCTGGGCCAGGATCAAGGCGGAGGGGACAACGACTCTCCTCCCGCTGTCGCCACTGCGCAATGAGGGGAGTAACTGGGTACGCAGCGCAGGGGAGCCAGGCTGCGCAGGAGACTCCTTAGCGCCAGACTCAGGTCAGCGCGAGCCGCGGTCCCCTTCGTGATGGCTCAGGAAGGAGGGGAATGGGGAGCAGCAGCAGCTGGTTGGGTGCAGGGAGGGAAGAGCTCCGGTTCTCCTGCGCTGCACAGGGCTCTCCTTGCGCAGGGCTCTGGAGCTCTTCCCTCTCTGCATCCAGAGACGGCTGCTCTGGCTCTTTCCTGAGCCAACACGAAGGGGATCGACCGGAGTCTGGTGCTGAGGAGTCTCCTGCGCAGCGCAGCCAGCTACTCACTTCTCAGTGGCAGCAGCAGAAGGAGTCGCTGTCTCCGCCGCCGTGATCCTGGCCCAGGAGGGTACTTTGCTTGCACGCGCAAGAAAGAGATGAAAGAGAAAAGGGGTAGAAAGAGAGAGAGAGAGAGAGAAATGAAAGAGAGCTGGAAGGAGAGAATGGGAGAGAGGGAAAATAGAGGGAAACAAATTAGAGGGAGAGGGGGGAAAGGGAGAAAGAAATGAAAGAGAGCTGAAGGGAGAGAATGAGAGAGAGGGAAAAGAGAGGGAAACAAATCAGGGGGAAAGAAAGAGAAAGAAAAAAGAAACTTTTTCAGACCTATGACAAAAGCAATGGCAAGCTAGATCTCTTGCCAAGAAAACTGCAGTTTGACAGAAGGCACAAATTGGAAGCAAGCCTGATTTCTTTTTTAAAGAAAATAATAAGAGATGGCAAAAAAAAATGCATCTGAAAATAAGATTATTTATAATTTTGGATAACATATTGTATTGTCAAACTCAAAAGAAATCAAAATATATATCCTATTGCTGTTAGTACAATCTTGCCAGCTTCTATCAACTTAAGAGTTCACTATGAAAAGATTCCAGAGAAGCCATTTTCTACAATTAATAACTTTATTTTGGATTTGCTATCGTATTCAATGAGAAAGGAAGAAAAAGGAAGAGGGAAAGGAAAGGAGAGAAAGGAAGGAAGAAGAGAAAGGGAGAGGAAAAATAGAGAAAAACAGAAATGAGAGGGAGGGGGAGAGAAAAGAGAGGGACCCTAATCCCACAGAAAACAGAGCCATGAAACCTTGGTAGGCATGTGGGGTGTGTGTGTGTCATGTGACTGGGTGGGAGTGATATTGAGTTGGTCACACCCACCCAGATTTGGTGGCTCCCGGTGTTAACATAGCAACAACGAAAATACTTTTATGGTTGGGGGTCACCACAACATGAGGAAGTGTATTAAAGGGTCGCGGCATTAGGAAGGTTGAGAACCACTGGTCTAAAGGCATCTTTCACCTGGTCATTATCCTGATGGGAAGGTCAGCGAAAGGTGCAATTGTATCCAAAGCAAAGCTACTATTCCAGCAGAAGGTTAAGGCCTTGGCAATCTTTGCCTGCCACCCATTCCAAAAGCTCTCCATGCAAACCCCTGGAAACCATAGAGCTCCATTAAGGGCCTACAGGCAGCTCAATTAAATGGGCCCTTCCTCCCTCTGGAGCAGTGTTTCTTAACCTTGGGGACTTGAAGTTGGCTGGGGGATTCTGGGAGTTGAGGTCCACGGGACTTCAAGTCCCCAAGGTTAAGAAACACTGCTCTGGAGCTTTGTGGCCTCCAAACTTGGCAACTTTTAAGACTTGTGGACTTCAGCTCTGGCTGAGGAATTCTGGAAGTTGAAGTCCCCGAGTCTTAAAAGTTGCCATGTTTGGAGACTTCTGCCCTATAAGCAGTCACGATTTGGCCGTGAGAAGGGGCA